GTTCATGACGGTCATATGGAACGACGTGCAGGATCTCAGTGCCCCCCTCCCCCATCTCTTACTGCCGAGAAGACACATGTTATCCACATGGTCTTAAGGGATCGTACAGCTACGTCACGAACCCAGAGTCAAGAAATGGGGTCATTTGCAAGACAACAAGTGTCTGCACGAACAATTTGACGACATTTGCAGCAGTATGGACTGTCAGTTCGGTTATCCTTGACGCGGCATCATATGGTGTGATCACCGACAAACCTGGACACAGGATTGGCATGACGTCGTCTTTTCAGACGAATCCATGTTCTGTATCGTGATGGCCGCATCCTTGTTTGGCGACATCGTGGAGAACGCCCATTGGCAGCATGCAGTCGACATCGTCATACTGGCTCATCACCTGCTATGGGGTGACCTCTTTCTCGCATTGCCACATTGTAAGCACAACAGCAGCTGTTACATTTCTGATGTGTTAGGGCTAGTTGCTCTACCTTATCTTTGAGGCCTCCAAAACGCTACTTTCAGAAGGACAATGCACGACCGTGTGTGGTCCGCACTGTCCTGCCTTCATTGACGCGGAACATGTTTAGCTGCTGTTATTGCTGCCAGGGTAGACTGCTCTGAGGTCTGATTCCTCAGGATCTGATACATCCAAATATCATGAAAATCATTTACCTGTCCTCTACGAAATCATTTAACCGAATTGGAAGCTTGAAGAGTTGTTGGCCGTTAAAGGTGAATCAAACACAAGTCGAAGTAGCAGAAGCCACTGGAGTTTGACAAAGTGTGATTTCCAGAATCTGGCTAGGGCATAGACATGCAACATTGGCAATGTAGACTGTTATTTAACGGCTCGGAGACATCGAAATATAAATATCACTCTTCAACAGCACATTCGTTCGACTACTGGCACCACATTTTCGATATAAACTGTCCGAAACCGCTTTCTCTCTGTACCCTTACGAAAATTTAAGGTTTTTTTTAGGTATCGAGGCTGTTTTGAGGTATATTTAAGGTTGCTGAGAAAACAGAGACAAAAATTATACCTCGTAAAGGTTGTAATTAAGGTGTACGAGGTTGTTTTATATACACTTCAGCTTGTTTTGAGGTTGTTTTAAATTCACTTCAAATCAACCAGACTGAAAAGGTAATTTTTTAGGTATACGAGGTTGTTTTTCTTACACTTGTAACAAAAGAGGTAATTATGAGGTATAAAAAATCAACCTTTTTTCTACTAACGCTAGTGAGGTATTTATGAGGTATAAAAAAATATACCTTATTTCCACTAAAGAGAGTGAGGTATTTATTGAGGTGTATGAAGTCATTTTATTTATACCTAAGCTTGTTTTAAGGTTGTTTAAAGTACACTTCATATTAACTAGCTCACTTCCCAGAGTTCCACGCGAGCCGGCAAATGGCGTGTGTGTTGAAAATCGAAAGTCTATTCGAAATTCGGTAAGTGTGCTTGACATTTATTAATTTAGTTTTATTACTTTTAATCCAATATGCTTCAATTTTCAAACTTAAATTTTATTATTTTTGTTTCAAAGATACGTCCTGATCTTAAATAATTTAAGTTGGAGGATATTCTTAGAGGCTATTGTTGTAGGTATTAGCAATAAGAGAGAACAATCGAGATATTTCTCGTCGCTGTTTAAGGTAACGTTACTGGTGAATCGTTACAGCAGGTTATGCACAGTATATTTTGTTGGTAATTCATTCAAATGGAACTATTCTTTTTATTTTGCTTAAATGTATAGGTTTTAATGTAGCAGTATGCAAGCTGATTAATTGAGTAAAATGCTCAGGGCCCGACTTAGCCTAATTGGGGCCCGGGGCAAAAACTTCTTTATGAGCCCCCTCGGCTTCACTACTTTAGCAATGAATAACCGAAATTTATGGAGGTATTTCAATTTTTCACCTCATTATAAATATATAACAAGAAAATTTACTAGAATCTAAAAAAGCAATAAAGTCCCCCTCCCACCTCCGATCGTCAGACGAAATATCGTTCTGTCCATTTTATTGATCTTCTGACAATTCTATGTCCGTCATGCGAAGGCAGTTTCCGAAATTATGTTTTTTGATTGTTAACTTTGTTATCTAGCTGAGAAAAATTCATAACCTTGGCTACCGTTAAGGCGGAATTCAGCTATATTTTCACAATTACGATAGCTCAATTAAGTTAATCAGAAGCCCGTATTTTTTCTAATATATATCAAATTTTGCGATATGCAGAAGTACAGGCTTTTTATGGGCCAAATTTTTCCATCGTAATTGCGAAAACTTAGCTAAATTCCGCCCTAAGAAGCCATGGNTGCAGCAAAAATATTCAATGCTTTAAAAATTAGAAGATGTTAAAAATGCATTATAATTAAAGAAGTTATTATTTTTTTTAAGTCTCTTTGTGTTTTTTTTTTTTTTTTTTTTTTTTTTTATTTTTTTTTTTTTTTNTTAACTTTTTGAAATCTCACCCTGTTTTTGAGAAAGGGTGAGAAATTCTCACCCATTTTTTTTCTGAGATGAAAACACTGATTAAATGTAGTGTAAATTAAAGTAAAAGATAAAAAAAACTGTATTGCAAGTTATTTTTAACATTATTGTATCTAATGGGATTATTTATCTGTCCTTTAGTATATAAAATTAAAGTCCAAGTTGAAAGAAGAATTGCCAATATATTTAGCTCTAACAGGACCTCTTTTTGAAAGACTTACATTTGGTAAAGTAGTTGAAGCTATTATGAAAAACAAAAGATTGGATGCTTTGCGTGAAATAAAAGAAGAATATGTTCAAAGTAAGTAAAAAAAACAATACATAATTTGTTCATCTTTTACATGATTTATTCGGATTGATATAAGTGAGAAAGGTAAAATGACAGCCTTGCTAATAGGGCTATCAACTAACCTTGATTTGAAACTAGCAATTGTTTGTTACAAATCATCAGTAAAAAGAAAAGTAGTAAAAAAGATGTTTATATAACCTTTTTAGAGTTTTAATATTTTGTGTCTATATTTCTAATTTGAAAAAATAATAATAATAAATGTACCAATTAGCATTAGTGACAACCACCTACATCTCCTTGCCATAGGAAATTTTTTTTTTTTTAAGAATCCTGACCCTTTGTATTTTTACATTTGTGAAGAAACTGTTTTTAACACATCTCAATCAACCATATATTCAGGGTTGGCAAGTTTTTGACTCATGACAGTTTTTACTAGTTTATACCATGATTTTTACCGTCATGTCAAAAACCCATAGTTTTGGTAAAATTGTATTTTTATTTGAATTAACTGCTAATAATATAAAATTAATTCATTTTTGGGCAATAAAATTAGAAAAAAAGTTGTTAAAAGATATTTAAGAACAGATTCTTGCATTTTCCCAACATGATTATATCAAAACATACTATTTGAAGTAAAATATTAGGATACTAAGCAAAATTTTCAACATTTCCAAGCATCATTTTGTTTGGCATATTACATTACTGAAGAATGTCAAGTCATTCTTGACTTAGAGTTTGTTAGTAGTTGAAAGTTTTGTTTAGCTTATTTCTAATATTTAAGAAATGCCAAATTTTAAATTCTTCTTTTTAGTTCTTGAATTTATTAATAGTTCCAAGCTTTTTTGTTTGTTTGTTTGTTTATTTCTAACAATTAAGAATTGCAAAATTTTGAATCCTTTGCAAATCAAGCTACAGTGATTATAGTGATAAAGTAAGTATCACTATTTTCAGTAAGTATATTACAATATTTCTATATGAATGTATATCCTTCTATAAGAATACATGTATATAGTTGCAAAATCAATAGCAATCATTTACAACATTCATTTATAAAGGCAATTATATGAAAATAATATTATATTGTTCGCTACATACCATAAATTAAAGAAAACAGTAGATTTTTGACGGTTTTTACCGGTAAAAACCCGATTTTTACCACTGTCATGTCAAAAACCAGTTTTTGACGGCAAAAACCCAACCCTGCATATTTTCTCAAATAATCCATGACTCGTGACTTATAAAGTTATTTTAATTATTCACATTAACCATGATTAGGAAAAAAAGATTTTTTTTTTTTACAACATAGATCATATATGCTAAAATTTAAGGTTTTTACCTTTGAAAAATGTTAAGAAAAGGTAATTATTTGTTTTTGGAAGTGGGGTACTAGAAGTGCTAGGTGCACTAAAGGCTGTAAAAAAGTTGTGGCTATTTTATTATAAAATACTTTAAAAATCAAAGAGTAGTAAACAGTTTATTTTTTAAAGTTACAGATCTGCGAGTAAGTTATCTCAAGGCATGATCTGATAATTTACAGAATTATATCTTCAACATTAGAAGAAATACTTAAGTGTTAATTCCTTAAATAAAAGAAAAACATTATCTTTGTTTTAGTTTTGTCTGCACAAACCAGTGCTTGAAAAAAGGTGTTAAAATTAGCTTTATCATCTGAAAAATTATGCATATACTTAACATTCACTATTCATACAAAATGTATTAAATTATTAACTTAAAGAATTATTTTTCTTAGTAAATGCTTATTCTATGTGTCTGAAAATGTTGCCATTTTTCCTTGCTCATTTTTTAAATTCTTGTTTGTACCCCTCTGTGAATACAATAAGGTTACTATGTTTTGAGGCAAGTCTTTGAGGATATATGTCTTTTTCTTTTTAAACTTTTAAAATACCTCAATTTTTTTCATAAAATTTTTTATGGCAGTCCCAATTTGAAATTGTGGTTTTATTTCTGGCAAGTTAAAAAGTTAATTTTTTTTCTCTTTGTTTAAACTCACTTGAAGGCATTATATAGCAATATTGCATTATATAGAATTAGGTGTAAGATCATTTCACTTGTCATTAAACTTACCTACTAAATATGGCAGTATATATATTTGGAACACATCAATATTAATTCCTGTCTTTAAAATAATTTTTATTTGCAAAAAAAGTGACAAATAACAGAACTTAATGAAATTATATTTACAGTATGAAAAGGATATGTGGAGTAATTCGATCTATATAAATATATATATTTTTAAATCTAGCTGTGTTAGGTACGCAAGCCTAATTGATTAAAAGAAGAAGAAAAAATTTTGGTGGGAAAAGGGAAGCATTTAAGCCTTTATTTCAAATTCACTTCTTCATTTGGGAGGATACAAATTAAGGGATCTCATAATTTGTATCCTCCCAAATGAGAAGTGCTGTTGTCTGAAATATTTCACATGAGCAATATCATTTTCTCTCCTTTCTTTGCAAAGTTAAAGGAAGGTGATGTGAAAGTGATTCTTCTGTATTAAAATAGCTTTAGTTATGGACGAGGCAAGAAGATTTCTATTTTAGTTATGGAAAAGGCAAGTCTAAATCTATTAGTGGAATTTTTTTTTCGGAATGTAAAGTAACATTTTCTTTAAATTCTGCACTAGTAGTGTCTGGTTTGAAAAAATGAAATAGAAACAATTTTGGATTGTGAATCATTGTCTGCGTACGGTTACGAGAGGATACATAATTATTTCTTCATTGAAAATTTATGGGAAGTTTATAAAATGTCTGTAATGAGAGCTATCCGTTTTGTAGGGGTGTTTGTAATGTGAGTTTTTGCTGTATTTTGTTTTTTCTGTGTATATTTATTATAATTGTTCATCTTTTTTAAGGTTTGTTAGAAAGTCCTCAAAGCGATTCGTATGTTGCAAGAAGACCTACTGCTCCGGAAGCTGACATATTAGAGGAAGGGGTGTCTAAAGATTACTCATCCCAAACATTTTATGAAAAATATCAAAAAAGCCACTTCAACATGGATGACAAAGAAAATGGTCAAAAATTTTTTTGTGATCCTGTATTAATGGAAACAGAAACTATTACTGTTTTAATACTGCACGCTGATGCTGATATTGATGTCGCAGAAAGGTTGCTTACATTGTTGAGAAATGGTGGCTTTGTTGCTAAAACACTGTCACACTTCGATCATTTACTGATGATGAATTCATTTGACGTTTTTCCTGCATTAATTTCTGCCGTAAGTATATTTTAGTGTTTCTTTTTTATATCAACAAAATGCAATTTAGCTAAGTGAAATTGATTGAAATTTATATACTTTTAATTAAATCGGATATTAAAATAATTTCACTTTTTTGTGTGCACAAATTAAAGATTTTATGTATAAAAAAAAGATCTGAAGAATATAGTTAGTGATATACCAATCATAGGTTTAATTCATGCATTTTCTTTGTACCAGCATTTTGGGCAAACTGCATTCACTTCCTAATAGAGCCCCCTTTTTTTTTTGCTTTATGTGGTAGTTTATTTTTGATATTATTATCAGTTAAATAATATTGTGTTTACAGATTTGCAGTTGGTAATTTTTTTCTGAGTAATTAATAAATATGGTGCATAGAAATTCCTGAAAAAAAATTTGAGTTTTTAACTTTTCTATTTACTACGATATGTGGAGAGTTTTTTTTTTTTTTAAAGTTTTATTTTTTATAACAGTTTGATAGTATAATAAATATCTGTATAACAAAAAATTTTTTTTCTTCTAAAGTTAAATTTAATTGTGTTGAATTTTGGACCTAATTTTATTGAATTCTTTGTAATGAGGAACCTGCATGCAAAGGCAGGATTGCCGCTCCGCAGGGAGAACAGGGAAAACCTGGAAAATACAGGGAATTTAAAAATCACCTAAAATAACAGGGAAAATGCAGGGAATTTGAATTTTTTCTTTACAAACTGGGAAAATACAGGGAATTTTGTTTCTTACTTTGTCTTTTAAAAAATATTGACCACTCAAAGCGTAATCTAAGGATATTTAACCATGATATTTCAGCTATACTAAACTATTTAATTTATTATAGCATTATTTAAGTATGTTCAGCTGTTTTTCTAGCAATTAAAAACTAATATATAGATAGTTAGCCCAATATAGCTCACACAAGAGCTCAGTAATTGTTGTTTCCTCTTAATATATCGCTTATAATATGTACATGGAAAACACAGGGATTTTTTTTTTCAGATTTGAGTGGCAACCCTGAAAGGGTAATCGTATAATCTTGATAATTTTTAATAGTCAATAAGTTAAAACTCTAGAAAATCAACTCAGTTTGTTTAAAATTGACCTAAATTTTTTTAAATCATTCGCTTTAAATTAACGAAACTTTATTCAGTTGGCTAAAAACAAGAGACAGCGATTTCTTGTGACTTCAAAATCCACGTTCTGGGTAAGCGAAATCTACCAAACCAAAACTTGTCATAGGGTAAAGTGTTGTTTAAAATTGAGTTTTTTTTTTAATCTAATTTTTTACAAATTTATGTTGACTTTGTTCTCCAAACGGAAACGGATGTTTGGCTGGAGAGTTGATAATTTTTATACTTAGGTGATTAGAAGTATAATTTTTAGTTGTAATAAAATAGGTTTGTAATAAAATAGGTTACTGAATGTATAATTTTTATACCCGGAAAAAATCTAGAACTAGTGTTTGAAGTTTTAATACTTGAAAGGGAAAAAAGAAAAAACGTCTCAAAATGATTTGTTCAAATCCAATCATTACCATATTTCTAAAGGAAATTGGGTTTGAACTATTTATTATTTATTTATTTTGAATTATTTCTAATGCTTTTACTTTTATTACAGGTTGATTTCATTGTCCCAATTGTTTCAGAGTCATTTTTGGGTCAAATTCATTCTGGAAACACTGCGCTATTGAATGTATTTGATAATGTTGAACCTTCTGAAATAGATGATGTTAACTATTTTTCCCATAATTCAAATAATCGCTACATATATCAACTAATTTTAAATCAATATGTACGTAACAGGTGCCTGAATTTCAATGTACGGCCAGTCATGATACCTCATTTTAATAGGAACCTTCTTACATATGAAAGTTTGCTTAAACAGTCTTATAGGTTGTGGGAAAGTGTGCCAGATTTCATTGTAATGTTAAATAGAACAAAACAGTTATTAAATGGAATGGCTGCTAGAAGAAGGAATCAATTTTAAATTGATCATTTTGTATCAATGAGATACATTCTCGTTTATTGTTTTATTGTTGACTATATAAATTTATCTTAATCTTATTAAGCTTTGGAGAAAAATGCCAGATTTCCATAGAATTGAAGATTTTTAAAATAGATTATTTTTCAAAATAATTCAAAAAACTTATTTCTTCAATTTTCTCATTTGACTTAAAATCATAACTTTTGACTTCTCATAACTTTGTTTAAAAAAACTGAGCATGTTACCATTAGTTTTTTCTTAATTTTTATGGTCATGGTATTGGTTTTTCCTTAATTTGAAATTGTTGAAAAGCTCAAAAGCTTTTTTATTTATTTTTTTGTTTGTTTAAAAATGACTGTATATTTTAATTTTTTTGCAGTTTTCTTAATTTTAATTTCATAATTCTTAAGGTCCCTTAATTTTTAAAACATATCATTTTTAATTTTTTGATATTTTTTTCCAAAAGTTTTTACAACTGTTATCATAAAATGTGATTGTTTAAATTGTTATAGACAAAAATTAACTTTCTGTTGGAACTAACCACCAAGGAAAACATCTATGATGCAATATGCTTGAAACTTACTTGGTGTCAACCAAAATATCTTAAATGGCATGTTAATAAAACTGTTTGACAAATGGGAGTATAATTAATTGAATATCAATTTTATATTAAATGAAACGAATGATCGTAGCTCAAATTATTTTTCTATTCTCTGTAGGAAGTCAAATCTTTTCTGAAATGGTTTACAATTTATGCTTGTCCTATTATATCACTATTAATAATTCTACTATTATAGAAATGTCCAAGACAGAGGCTGAATTATATCACCTCAATAACATGTATAATTCAATAAATTGTCGTAATTTTGTAATTTTAAAAGATTGTGGAAAAATGGTCAGCATTTCGCTTAGTCCTCCCTTACATCCCAGTCTAACTGGTAGGCATCAATCCAAAGCTGTTTTATCCATGTAAGCCTTTAGTTTTTTTCACAGGTGGAATGGCATCTAGTATAGTTTTGAATTTAATTTTACGTATTATCTGAATACATAAAATGCGTATGTATTAGCAGAAAATGAATAAAATAAGCCAATTTGTGGTTTGCTGCAAAATCAAATCTGAAAAGCTGTACTGCATTGTCGTTCAGTAATTTCCAGTAAACTATAGGAATACTTCAAGACAGAATGCATGATTCATATCCATATAAATTTTACATTCAAAAAGTATGTTTCTTATTTTCCTTAACATCACTTTGAAATATAAAAAAATGCGTAATGTGATGGTTTCTTATCGTATTCTTTCTGTTAAAAATTTTAATTTCTATGGCTGGTGTGTTGTTTATTTTAAGAATAATTCCTGCGGTTAGGATACAATGTTTGAAATTTTCAGACTTGAAGAAATATTTGACTCTGTAAATGTGTATAACATTATTAACAAAAATAAAATGAGGGGTAGAGCTGGAATATATATATATATATATATATTTACATCAAGTAAAAAAATAGAATATAAGCAATGAGCTGCTTCATTCCATTGAGATAAGAACACTACTTCAGAAAGATATATTATTCGATGCATTATTTTTATACTGCCATTTTGAGGGTTTGTGCTTCAACAGTTTCCAGTTTATTGAAGCAGTTTCTCTCCATCTTTAGAAACATTTATACATGTTATAAAAATGTTGCCAATGTATTGAATTTTTTAAAATGTATTTTTTTATTTTACTCAAAAATACTGTATTGCCAAAGTGTTGTTGACATTGTGTTAAATTTTTAAAAATGTATTTCTTAGAATTAATCGCATATTTTTATACCTCAAATTACTTTGTTAAAAAGTTTTACATATTTATGAGAATACTAAATATTATGTGCAATATTTGTTTTTTACATATTCATTTATGTTTGTATGTTATAATATGAAAATATTTTATTCTCGCTTTTTAATAAATTTTTAGTCAATTGATTGATAAGACTCATTTTTCGTGTACTTTTTAATTTTGTCCGATTTATCAAATCAACAGAATCAATCATCTCTTCAGCAAAAAAAAAAAAAAAAAAAAAAAAAAAAAAAAAAAAAAAAAANTGACGAGTAATGAATATAATTAAACTTTTTCAATAATTTCTATCGACAGAGTTACTATTTAGAGTTTGACTTAGGTAAGTTAATAGACCTGGGTTTATGTTCCCTTATTCACTGTATTAGTATTAAAAATTTCACCACTTACTATATTGTGCCATTGAGCTCACAATATGGCTGTTTCATGTCATTACCAAGTGGGTGTTGATCCACATTTATCTGTAGATTAAAAATTATTTCAATGTATTTAAGTCAATACTTATTAAATAAATAATAGGGAAAAGGTTTTTTTTCAAGCATTTTCCAATTTAATAAATAATAATTAAATTGAAAGACATGTATACTAGATTTTTTTTACTCTAGGAGATTTAGTGAAAAAACTTAAGAAGCTTTGAGTTTTTTTAAAATTATTATTTCTTAGGTATTAAAACAATTTTTATCTGGGAAATTTTTTTAAAAAAGTGTTGTAATGACGACTGTTTAATAGTAGTTGCTTTGCCCAACGTTAACTTCGTTTTGCAGAGAAGGGAATTAAAGTTTGTTAACAGTAGCAGCTCATCTCAACTATTTTTAAGCATTTTTATTACACTTCTGATTTAAATTGTCAACTGTGACTGTCTCAAGTGTTTGGAAGTACTTTCATGCCTTACCTCAGGGGATTTACCTTCTTCAGGTAAATACGGGTGTCACAATCCCGAGGTACCCCAGTGAGTTTTGTGTAATAGTAATGAAAAATTAAAACTTAGTATCGCCGCAGTATAAAATCAAGCTTGGAGTAGCAGTTGTGGAAAATTAACATTTTATAATGCAGTTCTTAAATGCATTATCATCTTCTACATAATTAATAACTGACTCTGTAAAATCATCATCATGATGGGATTCCTTGCAGCATAATCGACTTCTTAATATGCTAAAGTAATCTCATAGTGTGAAGGGGATATTTAAACACACAACACCATGTATTACCTTCAGATGTCTAGCAGAAAACTTCTCAAATTTGAAGTTTTACGTTTTTATGGGCTTGCTAGTTATGTGTAAGGGTCTATAATAGAATGATGTGAAAAACATCAGCACATGAGTTGTATAAGAAAGGGATACATAGGTTATTACAGACTAGAGTTAATATTGCATTTTGTTTAATGTATATACAATAAAAAAAAAATTTTTTTTTAATCCTTGATCGTCATACTAGGGATTATCAATCTTCCTGGTCGCAAAACCTAAACTTATTAAGAACTTATTCTATCACATTATTATTATTGCCAAAAAAGGTGCATGTAGAGAAGTTTTTTTTTTTTTGTTAAGTTATAGTACATTAAACTAAAAGTAAATCGTGAGTTGTAAATCTTTCGATATAATAGAAATATCATCACATATTGTAGACGACAAATAGTTTATAGTACCGGTGCCGTAGTCTGCATATTTTTTCATGTGTTCCCGGATAAATATTCCAAAGTTCCTATATAATTACCATTATTTTCACTAAAAAACACTTCATTTTTACCAGGAAACGCTGCCACACGTTAAAGTACCTCCCTCCAATATTTTTTTTATTTGTTTTATAATTTGTTTTTCCAGTTCAGTGTGAATGCGTCCGGTAAGTTTAGGTCTTGTAATAATAATTAAAATAGAGTTAATGTGGTCACATGAGTTTTCAACCTCTGACAATTTTTTATATACATTTTTCCAATCATTCGCCCCTTTTGTCATTAGCGTTGTTTGCTTGGAAAATAATTTACAGACGTAACAGTACAATAAGTTGTTGGCTTCAGTATAAGCCAACCAATCTCTTTTACCTTTTTCCCAGCTACTTATTGTTCTGAAGAAAGAGGCAATAGTTAATTTTCTTGTAATTTGTTTTGACCCTTCGTTGCATCGAATAGAAGATGACTCCAAAGATCCATTTATTGATTTTGGTGGATTTTTTATATAATACTCTCGCATGGCGTCTGTTAAGTATTCTGGCCATAATGCAATACCGTTTACAAAACTCTTAGTTTCATCATTACTTTGACATGATTTTAAATTTATATTTTCTCCTTTTGTTTCATCTTCACAAACGGAATTGCTTGGTTTTTCCTGCTAGTCTTTTTGCAGAATAGTTTCGGACACAAATGTTTCTGGAGTTAGAGCAGGTTAAATTTGTGAAAATGATGACGATTGTTGTAATTGTTCTCCATCTACAGTTAAAAATTTGTCCAACGATTTTTTTCATTTGTTTTCTTTTTTCACTTCCACTTAAATGTTTATAGGAACTCATTTTAAAGAACACGTATTAAAAAGAAAGAAGAAAATGATCTTCAGTTAAATTTATTTTTACTCAATATCACAATCACAAACAAAATCACAATTTGTGATATTTTATGTTGTATGTTATTTTAATTAAATAATGTAATACTTTTATAAAAACTTACATTTTTATTTTAGGAATTCTAGAAAGTATTAACTATGAATCCAAAACAATCTATTTGCAATGAAGTCTAGGTACTTAAGTCATAATTGCACCATTTTCAATCACAACTCACATAAGAGGCAATACGTTCAGGAGACACTGATTTTAAATAGCTACGTTTTACTTTTTAAACACGTGCATAGTATAGGCGAGAGGCTCGATCGTATTTACACACATCGACACTCGCGGGCGTGGATGCATAAGCAAGGGAACGCTCGTCCACGCTTGTCGACTTTATCAATCGACGATTCGGCATAATTTGGATAACGTTTCAGCAATAATTATGAATATCACGTTTTTCTGTTAAATAAAAATTAAAAACCTACTTTTCGGGCCCTAGGTACGTGCCTAGGCCTTAATCCGCCCCTGCACATAGAAGTGTTTGCTGCACAGCCTTTGGAAACCAAATAGCTGAAGTTGTTAATGATATTTTTCAAATGTCAATAACGATAATTTCTATGCTTTTGTTGTGATTTTTTTCAGTCAAAGCGGCCCTTTAACGGCATTTAATGTAATTCCACCAAGTAAGCTCTTTAAATAAGCAAATTTATCTTAGTTAAACTCTCGTTTTCATAAATAGCTATTTGAAATGGATTCCAAAATTGGAGTCTTAATGTTGTTTCACCGTAAAATTTATTTATGCATAGTTTGGAAGTTTAAATAAATTACTTTCTGGAACAAATTTTGATTTTTCGCTTTGTGCTCTTTTAAATAATTCTTCACCTTCTCTATGTTCTTAATATTTTCTTTCAAAAATCTGGCGATTCGAGATTACCACTTGATTATTTTTTCCAAATATTCTTCGATTCCAGTAATTGCGGTTTCTATTTCCCCATTTTTAATGAAGTAATACAAAAATAATTATGCATAAAAGGAAGTAACTAGTTTACAATAAATTTAAATTTTGATCCTTATGAAAAGTTTAATAATTCATTTCGTAAAATATTCAACGTAAAAAGATTTTTAGTATAAGGAATGAATATATATATATTGACATAAGGCTTTTGAGTAAAAGAAGTTCGATATATACCAAAGTATATACAAGCTAGTGTTTGATTTAAGTTGCTTTGTTTTTAAATATAATCAAATGCTTCAATATTATTTACAAAATGAGTGATTAATATTTAATGATATGTTTGATATATAATTATGATCATTTTGAAACCTTGGTAAAGGAACTAATTCTAACTTGATGAAAATTATAGCAAGCTGAAATATAGACTCTTTTACAGTCAATAAAGGCAAATAAAACTTAAAATAGAAATCTTCTTACTTTAAAAACATTCCTTCCCACATGGATTTGTTGAAAACTGTTCTTTCAACAAACACAGGCTCATTCTCTTTAAAATATAAAGCAAAATAACATTCACTGATGTTTGCCAATGCCATTTGTCATTGAATCTGATACATGTAGGCATGATTATCGCGGAGTTTAAAGCCTTTATTTTCATCAACTTCAAGAAAAAAAATTCTTCCTTAACATCATTAAGGAATTCAAACTTAGTTTAGTGGGATTATAAATACATTTAATTTCCACTAGAATGGGGTCTCCAGGAGCATACAAAAGGCCATCTGGAGAAGCACCCAAAAAGGGATAAAATGGATTCACAAGAAGTCCCGTGTTTCTGAAAGTATAATCAGAAAACTTGTGAGCAATAATGGTTTTCACACCATTTTCACATTCACGTCCATGAGCCACAGCAGGTATATGGGATAAATCCTTCGAATTACGTTCAGATAACTGCTGAGCCAAAGCATCATGAGCTGAAACAGGGGGGCAAATCCTGTGGAAGTTCGGGCAGTTAAACGAAATACACGCTCAAACTTCATGTATCACTCTTACTTAGTTTTACTGTTGACTTTTCAACAGCAATTGCTTTGTCCAAAGTGACTATTA